TAATAATTTGCAAATGATCATGTCAATATCGATGCAAATATGTATAAACAGATTCCCGTTGTTTTAACTTAAATAAAGTTATAGCATTTATATTTAGCKGGACTTAACTTATAACTTAACAACATGTAACAAACCTCTTACCATTGAACTCGCTGTCTCCATGTTCTCAAAGAAGGTTGGGTGGTTCAGATCAAACTGCGGACAAATACCGTATTTTACGGCGAGTTGCTTCAAGGCAAGGATGTCACTAAGATGTTTCTTGAGCTGATAATACGGTCTTGTGATCGTTAATATTTATTGAAATTCGGCTACGGTGTCTTTCTACTGGAGCCTCCTCGGCTTTTCTATAAAAACTTACTATAACTCTTACAATTCCGTCCATTCTTCGATTTTTCTGAGATTGAACTGAACTGATTTGAACAAGCAAATGTCAGYGATCCAGGCGAASGCGACGTCCATCCCGCCAACCATTCCCGTCTTGACTCTTGATTGGTCAATTGGATGCCACTCAAAGTTTTAGAGTGGCCAATCAAACAACTAGTGCAACTAGTGGGGGGCRAGTGGGCGGCCAACCATACATTCTCTTACAAAATTCGTTCTTTACGCATGAGCTATAGGAAACATGGTGTTTGTGTACGAGTGTATAAGCATTCACATCTACAGTATTATGGATCAATAAAGAACAATTCTGCAACTAGTTCAACGTCTTTTTATTACCTTTTGTGCTGTATCCCTTAAACTCCACCATATAGTGGTTATCTATCCAAAATAGTTCCATTTTGCTGTATAAACACAGCCGATACGACGATATATATATATATGTTTTTTGATTGCTTACAACGGTATCGAGTTTGTACCTAGTCACCAGTCCCTTTATTAATATCGGAACGGGCAATTGCATAATCCGCGTGGATCATGGATTTGAGGGATCTCTCCGCGGATATGTGTTGATAGATCTGTGGATGATTGTGTCCGAATATTTTTGTATAAAAAAATCATCAGCTCTTTATAGTGCGCATGCTCCGTTGACTTATCCTTTGAGATATCCGGTTACGTGGTGCATTCATGTGGACGGTCGTATAGACTGTTTTAAAATTTCAGTATAGGCCTCGTTTTTAGCATAGAAAACAATAGAATAAAAAAACAATTTACACATATATAGATCCAAAGCTATTTCCGACAGTTCTGTTTTTTTAGTCAAGATTAGCATTACCATAGTAGTGCCAGGACTATTGCAAATCCTACTTGCGTTCTGATTGGCTACGCTACTCGGGGTCTAATTTCAATAGTCCTCAACTAGTGTAAAACGCAAATTTTGATTT